AAGAAGGGAATGGTTTCTTCTCCCTGTCCACAAGCAGCAATATCAGACTCCATTCTGGAAACAACCACCTCCAGAGAAGGCAGAGTCTCCACCAGCCAGTCCTTAAGAACAAGTCAGACAAACACAAACCTGGAGCAACATCAGAGCCACAAGTCCTGTCTGAGGGTGGGGGCCAACTAAACAGCCTTTACCTCTTCCAGCTGTAAGATTCTGGGCAAGCAGGAGCCCAGAATCAGCACTTACAGCACTGAGAAACTCAAATAGCAGCTAAGTGAACTCTYGGAATAACATCTCCCAGATCACATCCCAGTTTTCAAGAAAGCTCCCAAAGGCAGCAGTGCTCTCAATGCTCTTTGATTTCMCTGACCAGTACAAGCAGAGATCTTTTGCCAAACCTAACACAAGATACCACTTGAGATCAGACAGGCAGGGCTGGGACTTGCTTCCTAACACAGTTCTGGCTTGAAAGAAAAAAATCCTTATACAGAATCTTACAGTGTGGAGTCAAAAATACAAACCAGTCACACTAAAAACCCCTGCTCTCAGCAATTCAAAGACATTCAGTATCCACAGGTGCTGGCATTTCTGACATGACAACACTTTCCACAAGCAGGAGCTGCTGCTGGGTYCCTCCTGTGCACTCACCCTCCAATTCTCTTCTTGAGCTCGATGGGTTTCATGTCGTCGGCCGGTGCCAGTTTGAGGGTGCCCAGCGGGGCGGGCGCTGCCGGGGGCTGCAGGGGCTGGATGGGCTGGGGCACCACATGGTGCTGGGAGATGGCCAGCACGGGTGCAGGGTAATGCTGCAGGGCTTTGGGGCTGCCCGAGGGCGGGCTGGCAGCTTTGCCATCGGGCAAGTGAGGGCCTGGTGGCCTCTGGATCACCGGGGCCACCGAGGAGGCTTCCTTGGGGACACTGGGAGTGCTTACGAGGGGCGGCTGGCGCTGCACCAGAGGTGGGGACAGGGCGGTCTGGGCTGCTTGCTGGGGGGAACTGGTGACCACGGGGATGGGAATGACTGAAATGGGGGCTGCCAGGGGTGGGGGTGGBGGGGGCACTGGGCCCGGGGGGGAGATGGGCACCAGCAGTTCGCTCCGAGGCTCCTCTGGGGATAGGATGCTGTTGGCTCGTGGCACGCTGGCCTTGCCTGTCTTCTTCTGCTCCTGCTCCCGCTCCAGGCAGAGCTTCTCATGCTTCTCATTCTCCTCTGAAAGAGAAACACCAACAATAAGCAATGGCACTTCCCTTCCCTCCCSTGGGCACAGCCTCCAACCAGAGTGGGGCAGGATCCTTAAGTTAAAACACCCYGGGTTTTAGCTCTCCTGAGCAAATCCCACCTCCATGGACACTGCACGGGATACAAAYACGTCAGGGCATCTCATCACTGCTGTGGATTTTAATCAAGCTCTTAAACTTGGCTTTGATGTGTGTATGTTCCTATATGTTTTTAGARTACCAGACAAAGTAAACAAATTCTGTGCGGCTCAACTAGCAAAATAAACCTCATCAAACGCAACCTAGGGCTCTGGCTTTAATTGCATGAACATGGCACAAACAAAATTTATTTATACAAGTCCTGTGGCGCCAGTGGCCCTGGCATCTAGACACTGTACAGCCTTAATCAAATATCTCCAAACCCACCGCCCGTGAGGCTCAGCAGATCCCACTCCTGACAGCCTCTAAAAAGCTGCAACAAAAAGTGGTGCACCAACCTCTTMACAGTAATATACAAATACTTGGAAAAGAAAACCTTATTTTATCAAGGGAAGGACTAGGGGAAGGACATGGACTGTCAGGCATTCTGTCTGATATAGTCACCAATATCAGGTAATTCAGAGGAAGCTCAAAGAAACATCCCTACAGAGCCTCTCCCAGGAGAAGCTTGGGCTTGGCTGAAACACTGAGGTCACAATGCATGCTTAGGAAATTAGAGAGAAGAGCATGTAYACTGCCACCTGGAATTAGCAGGTTATGTTCAATCCCCCAGTGATCTTCAAGAAGAATCTTCAAGAACTAGAACAAGGGGAAAAGGGCCCCACCAAGCACGGAGCAACTGCTCAGCCACTGTGACAGCTGAGAAGCCCTGACACTGCTGGGATAGCTGCTAACCCACCTTTTGATTTTGGGGGGTCTAATGCAAAAATGACAAAGAGCAACAAAGGCAACAGAACTCCTGTTGTGGATTCTGAATGCCCTTTGGTACGTGTGAGCACACAGCGACACTGACCCAGATTCAGCATTTGCTGAAGTTCAGCTGCAGCACAGCCCAAACACAGCCAGGTCAAGCATCCGTGCCAGGGTAAACACTGCCCAGCACCCACAGAGAGAAAAACCACCCCCTGGATCAGCTTCCAGCACCAGGGCTGCAGCTTCAGTCTCTGACACTGCAGCACTCACAAAAACACGTGAAATTCTGTCAGCAGGAAGGATTTCATATCCATACAGCACTCTTGCCAGGCTTGCCCGGGGCTCAAATCCAAAGTTTTAGTTCAACTTCTGCAGGACAAGTAGGGAGCAAGTGAGTGAAAGATCTGACTCCAAAACAGGGGGCAGGCTGCTTAAGCAGCAGCTGAGGCTGAAAGCTGAATTTCTCTGTATTTTCTCAAAATATTTCAGGGTATTATCAACAGTTCCTTAAAGGAAGAAGCAAAGCAGCGCTGGATGGCAAAAACCCCAGCAAGAATCCCCTGATGCAAACACAAATCTTAGCTACCAACAATTTTGGAGTTGTTCAGTTGAACAACATTAGTAACTAATAAAGAAAAGCCCTTTGTCTGCAGATCTTTTGCTCCACTTTGTGCTGGTTCACAGCCAGAGGAGTGCAATGGTCTGGCACAGGGTGCACAAGGAAACCCAACCCCAGGGAGCTGCTGACTCACGGTGTTCCCTGAGTGTGTCACCACCACCAGMACAGCAGCCAGCCTGGGGACAGASAGRGTGACAGGGACTGAGCAACACCACACACAGAGCAAAACCCACCAACTTCCACCCAAACACAAAACTGCACCGGGACTGAGAGGAGGGAGCTCATGGATGGGAATCCTGCCAGTGCTGGGGTCTGGTGAGGACAGCAGGACCTGTCCAGGCTGCACTCAGGTCTGTGCTGGGGACAGGAGGTGACAGCACCAGGACTGTCCAGGCTGCACTCAGGNCACTCAGGTCTGTGCTGGGGACAGGAGGTGACAGCACCAGGACTGTCCAGGCTGCACTCAGGAGGTGACAGCACCAGGACTGTCCAGGCTGCACTAAGGTCTGTGCTGGGGACAGGAGGTGACAGCACCAGGACCTGTCCAGGCTGCACTCAGGTCTGTGCTGGGGACAGGAGGTGACAGCACCAGGACCTGTCCAGGCTGCACTCAGGAGGTGACAGCACCACAACAAGCACAGGATCCACCAGGACATCCGAGAACAGAGTCAGTGTGGAACTCCTACAACCATAACGTTCATCCACAAAGCAAAGCTAAAGCAGGCATTACTGATCAGAAATATTTATGGAAATGTCTCTGGAAGCAGGTGTGGCCCTCGGGCTGCTGATGACCTGCCAGCAAGGCCTTTGGTGCTACAAATCTTCAGCTCCTTTGAGCTAAAGAGTTTAGTTCAAGGATTTTTTTTTTTTTTTTGACACCAATGAGCCACTATCCTCTTGTGTCTGATTTATCCACAGCCAGAAAGCAGCCATGCTCCCAACCCCAGCAAAAGGACTGGTGGGTCCGTGAGCCACCTCTTTGGACACAAACCCTTCACTGGCTGGTGAAGATCTCTCCCCTGCTTGCTCTGTACTCACACCTTGCACACAAACCAAAGACACCCTTTGAAAATAACACCCCAATCTGTATGTTGTCCCATATGAAGGAAGCTCACCCACGTTTGGTCACAGACACAGTTCAGGGATGAGTGAGCAGTGTGCTGTGTGCCCAGACACATGCAGCACACACAGCACAGGAGCTCCTAAAACCTACAGAGAGCAGCCAAGGCTCAGGACAAGAGGACTGATGAATCCAAAGGTGYACCCCCAAATTATGTGTAATTTCCACTCATTCTTCACACTCTTATCAATGGGACTGAGGATGGAACAAACCATGGGAGCAAACCAGTCCTGAGAGCGTTCAGGGGGTTTGAACCACAGCCCAGGCATGAGGGGTCCTGGAATGCCACCCTGGCCATGCCACTCTGCTTGCCCACAGGCTCATGTGGTGACAGCAGACACCTGAGCTCCCTGGCCATGCCACCCAGGCAGCAACAGCAACAGCAACAGCAACAGCAGCAGCAACAGCAGCAGCAGCAGCCATGGGACAGAACAGCAAATCCCATCCTGGGAGGACACAGAAACAGGGTCAGCACCCTTGCCCAGTGGCCTGGTGCTATTTTAGGGCCTCGATGGTCCAGGAATACCCAGTACCAGGCACTCTTTGTTACCTAATAATCTGCTGTGTTTAAATTTATCTTGTCCCTTTTGCCTGCCCTGGAAATGSCACCCATCTGTCACAGGCACCAGTGCCAGGGAGCAGCGGGTAGAGCCACATGTGCCCTCAGGTCACAGCCTGGGCCAGCAGCAGCCCGGAGCCAAGCCAGAGAAGCAAATCTTAAGGAATGTTAGTGCTCTTTGAATGCTCCTATTTTTCATTAGGGCCACTATCAGTACCCAAATCCATCAAGGTGTGTGCCTTTGCACAGCCAAGCATCCTGCCTGTGTGTGCACTGAACAGAGAACATCCCTAACTCCAGCACACCGAGACCGTTCTGTAGTGTCATTTTCTGAATGGTCTGAAGTGTTTTTAGAATCATTCAGTGCTTCTGGGAGCTTATCCTGCACACCTCAAACTGCTGCAGCCCTAGAGAGGAGTGCCCTGGTGTCACTCATGCTACACATGCAGCAGTGTCACCTGCAGGAGTCACTCCAGGCTCCTACCAGGAAAGTTCTGGATACAGAAGAGTCTCCAGGGATTTGCTGCTCCCGAGGCTGACCTGGAGAGGGACTGTCATGCCAAGAGGAAGGGCAGCCTAGAGTCCTGAGGTTGGTTTCTGTTTCTGCAGGTGCCTGGCTCTGCAGGGGAGAACCAGGAAAGGGGAGATAAGAACAGACAGCAGAACGGGAGGCCAGCAAAGCTCAGCCTAAGCCAARCAAGCTCTGAGTCACAGCAAATGCTGCTGACACCAGAGGCTGCACAGACACCCCAGGGCCATCAGGGTGCCAAGCATGCTGCACGCTCTCAGGGCTGGAGGGGTGTAAAACTCCTGCTGCACCTTTCTGTGGCATTTGGGACAAAGTGCAGGAAAGCACTGGCTCTGACAGGTGAAGTGGGCACCAAMAGCACATGTGGACTCTGCTCCACCATCCGAGGAGCTTCAGCTCCAAGCAGGTGTGCTGTGCTGCACAACACAGGGCTGCTTTTCCATGGGGCATCGGTGTTCTTAACAGACAGAGACAAAGTAATGCACTCTGATTAGAAACAGGTATTTCTGTCAGCTGAAACGCTTCTGTGTCACAGTTCAGAGCAAAAAGTCGCACTGATGACAGGCAGGACCCAACCCATGCGCTCCCACGCACATGAGGACATGTCCCTGCTACTGCTCCAGGGACAGAGACACACACTGCAGGAACACAGGACAATGATGTGCCCTAAATGTAAAGGCTGGAACAGTAAACACGAGCAGACTTAATAAACGATGTAC